TCTTCTGCTGCACAGGGTGCATCTCCGGCCCGTTCGTCCGCGGCTACACGGATTTTACATCCGAAGCCTCGGCAACTGGGCACCACACAACGCGCCCGCAACAGGCGACGGATTATCCTGTCGAGGATTCGGAGGAAGTTGACTACGAGTCGGATACGTTTTTCCTAGGATGGAAAGAAGAGGAGAGAGAGGTGCGCCAACGGCGCGACGAAAGCCCTGCTCAAACCTTGCGGACATCTTATCCGTTGCTCGACTTCACGACTTCCGGTAGAAGTGGTATTATTACAAATCGTCTCGGTGAAGTACGGGAGCAGCAGTTAAGGGCTGCCAACAGGGCGGCTGTCATGCTCTCGTATCCACGGAAGGTCCTTGACCCTCGTGTGGAATACGGCTTCTGCTCGGCAGATCCCGCTCCTGAAGCGAAGGACGCGATCACTCGATATACGTTGTCGGGATTCCGGCCACTACACAAGCTGAGCAAGACCAGCGGAAAGCTCTTCAAGCTCGCTTTTTGGTACCTCAAGAAAGCCCAATGGATAGGTACAGCGCTCAACTTCGCGCTCAAAGCGGATGTGCTCCTGTACCCGCAATGCGAACTAATCCTACGGCGCTCGCCCCTGGCAAAACCGATGCAAATGATGAAGAGCTCTTTTAGCGATGGGTGCGGCGGCACCGGAAACTTTCCTCGCTGTCTTATGTACAGCGGAGCCACAAGGAATTTGGCGTGCGAGTAGAACGCCATCTTCAATATGATTTTTTGCCAAACTCAAGGCGCAACACCGAATCCGTTCGGATTTTGCCCTGCGACATAAGGAATAATCCATCACGCCCCCGCAAGCTCTGTGGTTTTAACAAAGGTGAGTCGACGACCACAGCAGCCCAGGACCATAGCTTGTGCCCAAATCATGACCCTCTGGCTTTCTGGACTTCTGCCGAGGAGCGTGGAAAATACGACGACGCGAAGCAACTGATCATAGGCGTTTCAGAAGTCTGGGCAGCGCCCCCCCAAACTTCCACGAGTTCTCGGAGTTTTGGTATCCTCGCCAAGTCAATAGATATTGAGTTTGACCCTGTCGACTACGCCGACCCACAAGGCATTCCACGCGATAACGGACGCCGCTGTTCTCATCGAGAAGAGTGTGCAATGGGCGAGAAAAACTTGATCGATCGCCTTTTGGTGACTCGCGATGCTCTTTGAGCACTGGAGGACAAAGTCCGTCGTCATCGGCACTCCACCGAGCATCTTGCCGAGGTCGCATACCGCTGTGCGGATACCCTCGATAGCTTGGAGCACTTTGTGCACCGACTGCCTCACGTCGAGAGCTATCGCGCTCTATCGGAGCGGCTACAAGCCGTTGAACATACAAATTCATCACTTCGTGCGGTGGTGAAGCGCCTGGCGCCGTTAAAGATAGAGATGGTTGCGCTTCGTGCTCAAAATCAATTGCTGGTTCAGCTTCTGGGGTGGCGCGATTACTTGCGCCGGATCTCAGTACGGCTTAAGCAAGCCACAATGGATGCGCATCTTTCTCGGAAGGCTTAGCTTATACGCAAGGCCTCGCTTAGCCACGGAGTGTTGCAGCAGAAACTGCATGTGTATGAAGGTTTTAAGCATAT